CCTTTCGAATACAAAGAGGTGAGCAGCCCAGAGAGGTTAAGTGATTTATCCAAGATCACAAAGCAACCAAAGGGCAGAGCAAGACTAGAACTGAGTTCTATCAGGGGCTCCCACTCTACTTGGCCGCCATGTTCCGGGACAAGCTGAGCCCAAATCACCCTTTTCACATACCCCAGACAAGCTCTGTTCACACCGGAGGCTTCTGAGTCCAAACAGCCTGAGCTCTTGTGGGGGATGGTGGGGGGGTAGCGACTCCCGCCGGGGGCTCCTGCTGGGGGCTGGAGCAGTTAGAGGTGAAGCAGCTCACACACCAGGGACCTACTCTTCCACCCCTGGGCTCAGGCCCTGACGCAGCTTAAGGCCCCACCTGCCCTAAACTGTGCCCCTCCAGATGCCAGAGAAGTGGAAGAAGGCGGCAAACAAGTCACAGGTGCTTGCTCCAAGCCAGGACCCACCCTGAGGTTGCCCATCAACTTATCACGACAACCCGAGGTGGCAGGTGTGGCCCCATTCAGCACACGGGGCATGGGCTGGGCAGATGTGGAAGTTCCCTGTCAGGAGGCCTAGATGAGACCTGGCCCGCCCTGCCTCCACAGCCCCCGCCCTTTCTACCCCACCTGATAGGAAGAGGGGGGCTGATGCTCCCCAGAGGCAGGAGGGCCCGCCGATGCCACCCCCATGGGAGCAGACCAGGGGGACAAAGGGGTGGGCTGGTAGGACTGGTCGCAGGAAGCTGAGCACCCATCTGGGTGGCAAGGATGCTCGGGGTCGGGCCGTGCTGTGGTGGGCTCAGCTTCATCAGGAGCCCCAGCAGGTGCCTCGTAGGGCAGCCCAAGTGTTGGTGCTGACCCAGCCCTGAGTGTGAGGGTGGGCAAGAGGAGGGGGCCACCAGGGGGGAGCGTTCGTTCAGCACCAGCGACACCATGGCCCCGTGCCCTCGGCTCCACCCTCCAGGGATCTGGGTCTGCAGCTCTGGGACTCAGTGACATTATTCACACAGGAAGACACCCATCTGGGGACATGTGTGCCTGGGAGGGATGGCGGTGGGCAGGCAGGCTCCTAGTTGACAGACCCAACATACCACCGTGTGAGGGACCCCAGACGTGGATACTTGTGACAGCTGGCTCGACGTCTGTGTATGGGGCCAGGGCACAGCCACCCCGTGGCGGAGTGTCACCTCGCTCCCCCCTGCCCTGGACAGGTGCCGTTTCCAGCACCCTGTTCGGGGACAGGGACGGGGAGGGATGCTGCGGGGCAAAGCCAACCTCCCCCTCAAGCCCCAGCAGCCTCCTCCGTCCCCCTCCCTGCCCCACCCTCATGCCCAGCCAGAGGACGCAAACCCAAGTGGAGGAAATAGAGAGAAGCACTTGACTGGCCAGGATGGGGGGCATGTTGGGGGCTGAGAGCAGGGTCCTGGTGCCACAGACAAGGGCCACATGCGTGGGAGGCACTGGAGTGGATGAGGGGCTCAGACCCCAGGCCATGCAGCCCCACCATGGCCAAGGAACCGGTGCCTCTGTCCTGTAGCCCCTCGGAGCTCATCACTGCACCCTGGCCCCTGTGTGGGCCCTGCAAGGAGTGGGGGAGGCTTTCTGGAGGGGCTGGATGAAATCTGGGGGCTGAGATAAGCAGAATGGCCCAGGCAGAGCAGAGGATTCTGGGGTATAGAGTGGGGAGTGTGGTTGGCAGGGCCGGGGGTACAAGGTTCTGAAAGATGGGGGAACTACAGTGAGGGGCTGGGCCTGGCCTGGGGGTGTGGAGGCCCAGCTGCCGGCAGGCAGGGCCAGGGAGGACACCCAGTGAAGTGTGGTGACTCAGAGGCTTCCCCAGGGCCCCAGGCTCGGGGCTCTGGAGGCAGTGGGAGAAACAGCTCCCAGCCTGAGCACCAGGGGCATCAGTGTGAGTGGAGGGGACTCAGGATCGGGGTGAATGGGGGTGGCCTCGGTGCTGGTCTAAGGGCTTGGGGGGAGTGACACAGGAGGGGAGGGACATGAGCAATGTCACAAGTAGGTTTGAGCTGGAGGACTTGGTGACAAATTAGAAGTGAAGCGTGAAGGAGAAGGGAAAGCTGAGGGAGACTCTAAGGTTTCCAGCCAGGGCTTGGGGAGTGGGGTGGGAGGGCAGGGCCCCCAGGAGGGAGGAGTGGAGGGTGATGCTGGGCCTGGGATGGGCAGGCCCAGGCACGCGTGCGTGTGCACACGTGCTCCCAGGTGGCAGCCAAGACAGCACTGGGGCCTGTGCCTGGAGAAGGTCTGAGGCCCAGGACCTGGGCGGCTCCCGCCTTCAAGAGTGAACGCCTTGAGTGTACAGGTCTTTGGCCCAGAGCAGCGCCAGGCAGGGGAAGGAATGCAAGTCTGTGGGTGTCCAGGACAGGGGCTGGCTCCTGGCCGAGGCCACAGTTGGTTGCTCCTGGACACCAGGCCAGCGCCTCTGGTTGAGGGTTTGGTACCTGCATCACTGCCAGTCCCAGGGCTCCTGGGAAGGCCCTCACCACACAGACAAAGGGAAGCCAGAAAACCTGCCTTCTTCTGGAGACGCCTGGAGCGGGGTGGGGCAAAGCCGGGTCCTTCCTGTCCCTGAGGCAGCATGAGTGAGAGCAGCGTATAGCCTTACAGGATTAAGGCACCTTCCCCCCAGCCAACTGTTCCAGTTTCGAGGTGAGGAGTAGACAGAGGGGTCCAGGACCAGCCCTGAGGATGGAGGGGGGGCCTGAGGAAAAGGCCACCTGGACAAATTATCGGGGTCAAGGTGGGCCAGCTCCACATGGGCCCCTCTCCCAGGACCGGAGATCTGAGTGCAGGGAAACCCACAGGTGTGCATGGCCCACGGGGCCGGGGAGGCAGGTGCCAGCTGTGTGACTGGGCATGAACGGGAAAATCGGCACAGAGAGGGGACTAGCAGGACAGTGTGGAGAAGGCACAGGCTTCTGTATGACCCAGGGTGACACTCAGCCTGGACAGTGGGAGGCTTTGGCGGCCCTGGCCCCAGGTGCCCCCTGCCGCCTGGCTGGCTGTCCCTCCCTCGGCCACTCGAATTCCCCGCTGATGTTGCTGAGGAGGGGCCAGGCCACCACAGAGCTGGCCTCTCTGGGCACGTGTGCTGGGAGCTGGCGGGGAACAACAGTAAGGGGCCCAGGTGAGAAGGGGGCCCCTCGCACAGGCCTGTGAGTGGGTGCCGGGAGGGCAGCTCTGCTCCAGGGCAGTCCTATGGCACAGGGGCCCACCTGCCAGCTGCCCGGACAGCCTCCGGCCAGGCACCAACAGGTGCCCCACCAACAAGGGATGCAGCTCCCCGACTCTGCAGCCTCCTGAGGAACCCATGTGGCAGCCCCCCACCACGGCTATGGTTCTCGGTCTTGCCAGCACCCACCACTCCCTTATCTGCACCAGTGCTGCACACCCTGCCAGGCCCCGTCATGAGCGGGCACACATGCCAACCCACGGTCCTCACACTGCTCACGTGGGCAACATGCAGATATGGCCACACAGCCCTTTCCCACACCAGACTCAGCAAGACTTCCCTGGGCACCTGCTCGGTACCTGGCACCGCCTTCCCTGGGTGAGAAGCACGAACACCCCCAGCTCGCCATGGTCAATGGTGCAACCCACACCCCCTGTGTGTGGCACACACGCTCCTGACACACACACGTGTGCAATATGAACACACGCTGGTGGCACCGCAGCCTCTGGCTTGGTCAGGATTAGACGGGGAGGTCATGGGGCAGCAAGGTGTGTTCGGTGAGGATTTGGGGGGGATGAGGGGGCGACAGAGGAGGGAGACAGAGTGGATGCAGTAGGGCAGAGGGAGGACTGAGGAGGCAGGCTGGGAGGGTGGCCAGACACTGGTGGGCGCAGGATGCGCCGTGTGGAGTCCCTTTAAGGAAACAGCTACCATCCTCAGTCACCCGGCTGGTCTCTGAGCAATCACTCACTGATCTCTGATCAGCCTGGCTTTGAATCCCAGGAACCCCAACATTCCCTCCTGACTCCCCTGGGATTCAAATAACCTGGCCAGGTAGAGGGGCATCTCCCACCTTCTTGGGGCAGCAAGAATCAGGAATTGCTAGGGCAAGCCCCATGCCCTCTCAATCACATCAATGACCCCTCCCCCCATACACATATAAATAAGTTCGGCTCTGCTGAGTGCATGGGTGGAGGCGGAGATCAGGACGGACCCTTAGCTCGGCCTGGGTGGAAGCTCAGGGAGAGCAGACAAAGGGTGCGGGGGACTCGCCTCCACCCCTCAGAGGAGCCGGGCTGAGGGCTAAGCTCCCGAGCTGGTTCCGGCAGCCAACCAACAGGACATGACGGGAGGAGGGAGGGCTGTGTAGTAAAAGGGAGAGGGGGAAGCAGCGGTGGACCCCACGAATGGAACTCTGGCCCCAGCACACCAGGGGGGTCAGAAACCCCAGCCGGGCCTCCCAGTGCTCTGTAAGGGCTGCAAGAGCTGGGGACTGGTGTATGTGCCTCCGCGCTGGAGTGGACGTGTGCGAGCGTGTGTGGTGGGGACAGAGGAGGACACTGTGTTCTGGACGTGGGCAGAGGCCAGGTGCCAAGCTGGGAACTGTGAGTAGCTGAGGCAGATGCTACAGGGAAGGGGTATGTTAAAGCCCCTCCTCGAGGGGACTGGGATGTGGTCAAAACCCTCTAATGTGAGACCCTCCGAGTCAGGCTTCCCCCGGCATTAATTCAAACCCCTGACCATGCTCTGGGGCTGGGCAGCCAGAAAACTTCCCCCCACCCCGGAGGCGTGGGGCGTCTACGCTCGCCAGCCCCGCGTGCTGACAGCAGCTCCTGGACTTGGCAGAACCCAGGGTTCTGGGGAAGCGCGCGCGAGGAAGCTGCGCAGCAAGGAGAAGCGGCCCTCGCGTCCCTCCCCATAAAGTTTGGCCTCGGGGGCTTCCAACCCGGTCCAGCAACGCGAGTCAGGGACACCTCCTACCCCCAGAAGCGAGCGTTCGCGCGGACGGTCCCCCGCAAGCCTCCGTACACGTGACTCACCCGAACCCCGGAGCCAGGCGGCGAGGATTACGCCCAGAAGCGCTGGCCACAGGCCGGGCCGGACGGCCATGGCCGCAGGAGAGCGGGCGGGCCGGGCACGGCGCCCCGCGGGCGGTAGGGCGGCTTTCAGCGCCTCAGCCCAGAGCCCCAGCCCCGGGCGCCCTCGGGGCCCATGCCAGCGGACTGAGCAGCCTCCGGGCGGCCGGCTACGGGGCGCACGCGGCGCGTGGCTCCCCTGGGCACCTGGCGCTCAGCAATGCAGCCGGGGCGGAGCGCAGCGCCAGCCGCGCCGCGCACCGACCAGCGGCCGCCCGGAGCCCGCAGCCCCGGAGCCGGCCGGCGGAAGCCGGAAAACCAGGACTGGAGTTACGGAGCGGGGCAGCGACAGGGCGGGGCGGGGGGAAGGAAGGAGGGGCCGGGCCCCCGGAGCTGCGTTCACCGGCCACCTCCGGCTCCGGGGATCCCTCCCGGCAATTCCCGGGGCTCTTCTAGGGAGGGTTTGGGGTAGTGGGTGGGGAGGCCTCCCACCACCCCTCGCGGTCTCCAGGGGCCGAGACAGAAGTCTGAAGCCCGGAGTGGATCAATTCTCGGATCCGGGCTCTCCCGGGCCCGTCAGCCTGCTCACAGGTGGCTCGGGAGGGGCCGGGGGCTGCGGCGACCCCGGCGCAGCGCCAGCCGGCAGAGAGCGGCTCAGGGCAGAGGTGCCCGGGGCAGGTTCCGCTGCAGTCCTCTCCCTCCACCCCGCACGACTCCCGCCTCCCGGCCGCGCTCGGAGGCCGTCAGCGCGCTGCGGTACGCCACCAGCCCGCTGCTTGGATGAAGGACTGCGGGAGAGCGCCCGGATTCTCAGCCAGCCCGCAGAGGTGCCCTGGAAGGCCAAACTTGCGGCCACCCGCAGTCCCAAGCACGTAGCCTGGTAGACCCCAGCGTTACCCAAGGTTTCCCTAAATCTGCGGCGACGTTTGCCTACGGAAAACAACCCCAGGGCGCAGCACTACTGACTGGGCGCACGGCATTGCGCCCCGAGCGCGCACAGGCTGGAGACGTGGGCGTGAAGGAACCAGCTGGATTTGGGGAACTAGAGAGACCTGGAGCAGGGTCTAGGCGCTTCTGCCTTCGAGCTCTTTGACCTTGAGCGAGTCAAGTCGTCTCCCAAAGCCTCCAGTAGTGACCGCCGCTGGACTGTCCTGTTCCCCACCCCCATCCACTAACCATGTTAAAATAAACAAGAGGGTTGCCTTGAAAGAGAAAGGAAATGACACACAAGCACCAAGTGCACCGGGCAAGTGGTCAGAGAAAGAGAGTCCTGCTCTGGGTCGGGAGGGGGACAAGAAGGTTGAGGGCAGGGTCCCAGACCGACATGCCTGCAGCGGCCAAGGTGATCGCTATGATCGGAGCTGCACGCTGGGCGATGTGAGAATGGTCTTCACTTCCACAGAGACGTGCGGTCTTCTGTATTTCTTGATACACGAGGCCCTCTCTCGGTCTTTTGTTTCCCACTGTTGATAGAAACGGCTTATGAGAAATGTAACTCTCCTATAAAAACCATCAGCCGATGTCCAGATACACATCTGCAGGCCCTGAGCTTCAGTGCCGAGGGGGAAAACACCAGCTCTGGGGTCTGGGGACAGGATCCCAACTAAAGGGACAGCTGGCTTTTCTTGCTCCATGTGCCAGTTGAGGGGAGTGGAATGTAACCCAGTACGGGCCACACTTTCCAATTTCCCTACAGGTTTCAATGCCAAACCAATGTGTGTGAAATCTTTTGATTTAAAATCTTTAACTGGGAAAAAAAAACAACAACTTAAACTTCCCGTGATCCCAGATGAAAATGTCCACAAATATGCACCAGCTTCTGGTTTTTCAACTCTGCTTTGAGCGTTGCTCGCACGTACTCTTGTCAGGAGGGCTTGATCTAGCCGACTGGACTGTGCGCGTGCGCGTGCGCCGCCTGGGCACGGGGAGCAGTAGGTGCCCGGGTCCCACCCTGCTCCCAGGAAGAGCTGGGTAGGTGAGGTGAAACAGGGGCAGCACCTGCGTTGGGGCCTCTAGGATGGCGGAGGGTTAGGGACGGGGGCGTGGGCACTGGCAGGACCAGGCTGAAGATGAAGAACTGAGGTTGGGGACCGGACTGTGATATGATAGCATAATGGTGTCTGCTGGACTCTGCTAGGTCCTTTGTGACATTTGTAATTCGGTTTGTTCCTTACACACGACCCCGGTAAGTAAACATTCTATTCCCGTTGTAGGGGTGAGGTAACTCAAGCTGCCGGGGAGGGCAGTGCCTCACGCCCATGGCCGGCCTGGTCTTACTCCGTGATTGCCTGGCTAGCCAAGATGGGTCCCAGGAGGTTCGATTTCAATATCCACGCTCCTTACATTTCCTCCTGCTGCAATTTCTGTTCTGGGGTTAAAATTTGGGAATGAGGTTTGGGGTACAAGAAAGGAAAGGTTCTCCTTTGTTCAGTTTGGCTGATCTGTTCCCTACTCTGGGTCTCTCTCTTCAGCCCTGTAGCAGCCAGGACAGACTAGGTTATGCCGTGGTGACAAATGTTCCTCAAATCTCAGTGACTCACATCAGCCAAGGTTTACTTCTCACTCGTTCACCATGGGTCTGCTGCTCCACATCACCTTCCTCGCCGACCTGGGCTGAGGAAGCGGTCACCCTCTGGTCAGTGAGGAAGAGGAAAAGGCAACTCCAGAAGGGCGTCCACCAGCAATCCATGGCTCAGCCCAGAAACGACACATATCGCTTTCACCCACAACTCACTGGCCCCCCTACCGCCAGAGGGTCAGAAAGAGCAACCCTGCCCCGTGCCTAGAAGGCAGTCGTGGAAATGCATGCAAAGTGGTGTTCGTGACAGACAGTGTTCAAGCCCTGTCCCTGCCTGGCTCTGTCCTGGCCACGTGTCGTCCTTTGTGTTTTCCAGGCATCCTTGTCATAACACAGATCTGAGCTCAGCTGTCCCCTCCCAAGTGGTCCTCAGGGGGTGTCCAGAAAAGGGGCAGGGTGCCCTTGCAGAGATGGGGGGTGCATGTTTCACCTGAATTCTGCTTAAGAATCAGGAGGGCTGCCAGGAGGGCCTTGTTTCAGACCTGAAGGTAGACGGCTAAATGGGAAGAAGGCCCCTGACGTCCCCAACTTCCTATGCCCTTGACCTCTGGACTCCAGGGGAGGGAGGGGCCAAACCCCAACTAGGTGGTACCTGCCACCACATGTCTGTAGACCCCTTGCAGTATCTCAGTGACAGGGTGTAGTTGTCACCTCCCACCATTGTCCTGGGCAGGAGTTTCTTCTCTCCAGGGAGCAAGAATCTGCCCCTCATTGGGTTTACTTTCTGGGGCCACACCAAGCATGTGTGAGCCCCCTTTTGCTTCTGTTATTTCAGAAGACTCTTCTTTTACTTCAAAAAGCAACGTCTGGGTCTACCTTGAAGTTTTCCCCTCCTCAGCCAAACACTTCTGCTGCTGTCACCAGCATGGCAGAAGGGCTTTGGGGACCACTGTGGCTGCTCTCCCCCAAGCCTGCCCCTCAGAAGGCATCTCTCAAAGGGAGTTGGGGCATCACCTGCCCATGTGGCCTGGTGCACAAGCTCACTTCCAGAACTTTTGTTGGAAGTAAGGAAAGAAATAAATTTTTTCTTGCCGGAAGAGGAGATCCTAGAGCTGCCATGATGTGAGAAGCGCACGTCTGAGACTGGGAAGAGGACAGCAGAGCCTGGAGAAGAGGGAGGTGCCAGGCCCTGGTTCATCAGTCCAGACCCCTGGATCCAGCCCCTCCTGAAGCTGTCAGATACATCCCTGCTTTTTCAGTTACATAAGCCAATACATTCCCCTCTTTTGTTCTTTAAGCCCACTTTAGTTTCTTTTCTTTGCATTTGAAAGAATGATACAGAATTATCCTTTCTAGATGCCTGTTCTAGAGCCTTTCCTAGGGTAGGGCAGGTACTTGTTATTGTGCACTGCTTGCAAGGCTCAATGCTACCCACTGAGGGAAGCTGCCACCTGTGGGAGAATACACGTGTGCACCCAGGTGTGGGTGAGAGCGGACTGACAGCCTGGCTATCAGTCGGGTGAATGCATGTAAGTTTGCGAGGGAAAATGAAGCCGGGAACAACCCCCCTTCAGAGGACCCCTGGCAATGTCTGGACCAGACCCTTTTGCACACTGAACCCCAACACCCAAGCCTGACACCCTGAGACAGACACATACATGCACGCACACACTGCATGCCAAAACCCACCAAGTTTCTGCTCTTAACATAGATGCACTTCCCACAGCCAACTCGCACAGGGGCGTGCCTGCAACATACATGTGAAAACACGTCCACAGACCCCGCTTCTTTCCTGTACAGACCGTTCACCTGCCCATTCTCGTGCTACTGAGAACTTCAGGCCAGTGCCTCCCTGGTTGGTGCCTTGGCCCAGCAACGGAGACCACGCCTTGTTGTCTTCAGGACCAAGGACAGCGCCTGGCGTGTCTGGAACCCTCACCGCGTGCACAGCACAGGATTGAGCTCCTAACCTGGTGCATGTCTTTCTATTGTCACAGCCTCTTATGAAGTAGATGCTCTGGTCATGCTCACTGCACTGACACAACAACTGAGGCCCATAGAGGGGACATAACTTGCCTAAACCCACCCACGTGGTCAGAGATGGAACAAGGATTTAAATGTAAAGGCTGCTCTGGAATGTTTGCCGAGTGATTGCAAGAATGCTCTGTCTAACGAATGGTTTTATTAGAGATACGTGCTCCTGTGGTGCATGTGCTCTCTCTCCATCTTTCACACACACACACACTCAGAAACACACACACACACAGAAATACACCCAGAGACAACCTTTGCGGCTCCATGAGCTCCGCAGCATCTAGGACTCTCAGGCCTCCCTGGCTGCACAGCCCCATTTCCAGTGTCCCTCCTGGGTGCTTAGGTGGGTTCAGGGGTGAGGGGATCCCTGCTGAGGGGCCTGTGCAAAGGAGGGGGCGGGAATTGTTCAGGAAGGGGGCAGGAGCTGAGAAGGAGGAGAGGAGGAGGCTGCGGCTGGGCGAGTGGAAATCTGGCACCGTGCCCTCCGCAGATGACCTGATGAGCATTTTGCAGAGTTAATTTCATTAGCATCTCTGGGAGATGAACAATTAGCAAGATGCTCTGATGCCTTTAAAAGCCTAAGAGAAGGAAGAAG